GATGTAGAGAGAAAAACAAGCTTACAAGCAGCTCCAATGAGCAGAACAAACACCAGAGACCTCATGGTTGCTGAGTGATCTTGTTGATGAGAGAACTTCATCTGCAGCCGTGGTTTATATTGAACAGTAGGTCTGAGCTTTGCATAGCAGGACACCTCCCACCGTTATCTGCGTCCAATCAGACTTCTGGGCTAAAACTCTGAGTGATGGAAAAACAAATTTGACTTGTGCCAAGAGTTGGCTTTCAGAATTACAGATAAGTGGCTCAAATCAATTTAAAGTTTCCTAAAATTCTTTAAAGTAGATTAACCTTAGACATGACAATATGCATGCATTGTTCTGTTAGAAAACCTTTTGGAAGTCACTCGAAATATTCATATGTCCCAAGATCTCTGTTATTTCTTTTTTGCTAGAAATATATATTTCTAGGTCAACAAGTGGCACATTTATTTATGTACAGTTTACTATTTTAAATAAAAAACATACCAGTTGTGATCTAAACTTAAATTTAGCTTAATATACAGATTGAAATATACAGATTTATCTGTTTTCACAAGATTCTGTGCTGTGATATGTAGAATAGAATAGAATTCAACTTTACTGTCATTACGATGTCACAAGTACTAAGCAACAAAATGTGGTTTCTATCTGTCCAGAAGTGCTATACAAGATATAAATATTTATTTACATGTGCACAGAGACTATGTATGCATTGACTATAAATGGTGTATATAAACAGAGTTATTATAAGAGGCTACAAAATAAATAAATATGAAAAACTTTCTACAGATTATACGGGGGAGTTGGGTTATGAATTATATTTATATATATTATTGGGGTTATAATACATGGTAAATAAAGGTAGATATTAGCAGGTAAAAGATTTGCACATAATATACAGCTATGGTTGAGAAGCATGTGGTGTAAGTGGTGTTGGATCCGTGTACGCGTGTGTGAGGAAAGTCCATATGTTGTTGTTGTGTGTGTTTCTTTTTGGGGGTTAGGATGGGGGGGTAGGGATTCGT